GGGGGGGGGCAATAGCAGCTTCCTGAATGTAAGTCCCAGCCTCCTTCCTCCCCCTGGGCTGGGGGTGGGGCTGGCTTCTTCCAGAGCACAGCAGGATTCAGCAGGGACAATGCGGCCACCAACCCCCACGGGGCCCTGACCACCCACCTCCGAATCCTTTGGTCTGCAGCTCCTCATCCCGGATGATGGTCGGCACAATCCCTAGGTCTTTTCCAACTTTCTTAATCTCCTGGACGTGGTCGTGGAAAAATCAACACAGAGGTGTGTGCAGGCAGCTTAACCAGCCCCTCGGCCCTCCAAGCTCTGAGACCCCCTGCCACACACCCGGCCAGCGGAGTGCTCGGAGGGGGTGCCTGGCCCCTCGGGAGGAACTTGCTCCACAGACCAACCAACCACACGTGCCCGAAGCAAAGCTCAGGGGCAGGGAAGCAGGACGAGTAGAAACCGGAACCCAGGGCAGGAGCGGGAAGAGCGCAGTTACACTGAGGGGACTGCAGCCAACGGCCCGAAGCCAAAGGTGGGCAAATTGCTGAGCGGAAAATTACTTTGTTCTGTAAGCTTTCACCCAAATCACAATAAAAATGAACAAACAAAAAAAGTCAATGGATGAAGAAAAAGAAGGGCCTGTCCCTGACACCCTATGCCAGGGCTGGGGCACCTTTCCGGAAGCAGCCCCAGGCAAGATGTGCAGTGAGGACACTGGTGGCCTGGCTCTCCCTCCCCGCCTAACTTCTTCTGGCACTCCTTAGAGCCTCCTGAGGGGTGTCCGAGCCTGGCTCACCCCTTCCCCTCGCTGAACAGGCCACAGACCTCAAGGAAGGTGTCTGTATTCATCTCGTTGCAAGGTGTGTCCACGATCCGGGCTGCCAGCCGCACACCTTCTGTGGCATTCGCTAGGCACTAGGAAAGACAGGACCAAAGCTGCTGGGACGTGATGGGAAGGCACGTCTCCTCGTCCACTGCCCTAGGAACCCAAGGTACCAGAGGCCCACCCAGCCCGGGAAGGCCAGAGGGGGCTGGTGCAAGGACTCACGGCCACCTCCCCGCTCCCTGGTGGCCAGTGACCCACCAGCCCCCCTGCAGAAAGAAGCCAGGATGGCCACCCAGCACCTCCAAATCACACAGGAACCCTGGGCGCACCTTCCTTTCCAAGCTGCCCCTCCACTGTCCCCCATCTCAGTTAGCTCGAAGGGAGCCGGCCCTTCAGCCTCCTGAGCCACGGAGATTCCCGCTGTCCTTCAAACGCCTCTGAGGCCGGCTCCTCCCAACCGAGCACAGCCTGTCACACAGAGCCCTGGAGCCTAGGACTTGGGCCCCTGGAGAAGACGGGTGTCCTCAAGTGAGTCCCCTGGGAGCCGACGGACTGCTCAAGGAGATGGGGTCTGGCCCCCAAGCTCTCTGTCACCGGGCCTAGCCCTGCTCTGGGCACTCGGTGGAGAGGGAAGGACGCGGAGGAAGACCCCTGCCCCGCAAGGCGTACACACCAGTCACACTAACCAGTGCCTGGAAGGAGCCCGTGGATGTGTCCTGCCAGGTTTCAGCGTGCGCACCCAGAGGGGCGGGTCCAAAAGGGGCCTCTGCCAGCCCTGAGGTAATGGCACCCAAACTCAAAGGCAGAGATGGGGCCCTGACAGCTCAGGTGTGAAACGTGCTGAGTGCCCCCTCGGGCAGGGCCATTCCTCGCCACCTGTCAGCGGCTCCCCACAAGGTCAAGGTCCACATCCAGGACTGCAGACCCACCGCCCAGCTCCGAGGTGTGGAGACCAGTGCTGAGTGCAGCCACTGAGGCGAGCCGGAGAGGCCCAGGCCTGCAGAGGGGACAGCGAGCAGACAGGGGTGAGGAAGGGCCAGGCCCACGGACACTCACTTGCAGAGTGGACACCTCCACAGGCCCGTTGTCTTGTCCCACCAGGAAGAACTCCACAGTGACAGTCTTCTTCTCCATGCGCCGTGCGGCCCCGGAGCGGTGAGTGAACAGGGGGAAGGCCCGGGCCAGGGCGCAGGCTGAGGCAAAGACGTCAGCCCTCTCACACACCATCTGCAGCACAGCGGGGCAGAGGCTGAGCCGTGACCAGGGCTCCAGGGGAGGCAAGCCCATCGGATCAGAGCTGGGAGCAAGGGACCCGCAATCGGACGTCAAGCCCAGGGTGGGTCGGACCTGCACGGGGCGCCCCACAAAAACATGAAGTCAGCCCACCCCTCAGGTGTCTGCTGGAACCTTGAGCGACCGGGCACACCATCTCACGGGTGACAGAGAAAACAGCCCCCCGTCGTATTTCCTGCCTTACGAGGCTGGAAAGCAGGACCTTGAGGGATGAACATTGGATGGGGGCTCAGGCGATCTGAGTGTGAGTCTCAGACATGGGGCTAACGGCCTGGTCTCACCAGACCTACGCTTCCCTGCTGGGCTGACAATGACCCGGGCTGTGACCTCAGACAGGCCTCAGAGGGACACGAGGCACACGCTCGCTGCCCTGCTACCTCCGTCCCCACGGCCACTGGCGCACACAGGCCGGGCAGGCACTCACCAGAATACACCGATGGGTCCCTGGAGGCAGGCAGGTCCGCACCAGCCGGGTGACAAAGTGAGCAGCCGAGGGGCTGTTGTGCCGGCTCACCCTGGAGGGCAGGGCGGCCACGGTGGCACAGTTGAGGTACAGGGGACAGCTGTCGGTGGGGTTGGGGTTGAGCGTGCTGAGAGCAGCCTGCCAGAGCTAGGATCAGACGGGGAGAGACAAGAGGCAGGCAGCCTTCACACGGCCCGCTCTGCGCAACAGACACAGTGTCCCTGCACATGGGCCAGCACTTGGAGAGGGGACTTTGCAGCTCTGGCCTCGTGCAGGACGCAGTAATTAAGACCATGTGGCTGCTCCAGCCCGTGTGTCTCGGGGCTGGCACCCTTCCACCCAAGGGGGATTAAGCCGTGGGGATTTAAAAGGCCAGTTGGGGGGCCTGCTTGCTTCACACACTCTTGCACGGTGAACTGGCTGGGACTTGGCCGGTCTACCCTGAACATGGGGTCAGGTGCCGCAAGGAAGGGCGGGTCAAAGCCACCCAGGGAGGTCTGGATGGCAGGTGGGAGCCCCCAGAGCCCTCGAAAGCGACTCTCTAGGGAACCCTGGTCCCATCTCCCCACCTCTCTCCAGAAGTGCGGGGGGAGGGCCGCCAGAGCACGGGGGTGGGGCTCTGGGTGACATGACAGGCACGCCCTGGGCGCCCGGGCGCTGC